ACTGAATTTGAAAATAGGTTTAGAAGTACACCCATCCCTGTTTTATCATAAAAATATGTAATGATAACGCTCCGTCTCAAATCAATGCCACACACGGAGTGGTACATAAAATTTACATTGTATGTAAGTATCTTAAGCGAAAGCTTCCCACTTAAAAGCTCTACAAATGCACTGAAAGCTCTTTCGCGCACTAATCCCAAACCTTTTAGCTGCAATCAAAAGCTCGGAGCGCCCGACGCGACGCGGGCCGACGTGATGCTTGTGGAAGCGTCTAGGAATTTAATTTACATTTTTAATTAAGTTAAATTTTGTTCGAAAAGCTTTCACGGAATAGGAGTTTTCTTGATTAGAGTTCAGTTCTGAAGTTTGAGATTGATTAGTGGAGGTTTAATTGCTCGCTACCGTTGAATAATGAATTCGATCAGCGGAGAGTCAGGAGGGGACGGCTAATAAATTAGTTTTTCTAGTTTCGTTCGGGAAATCAACACTTACCACCGCAAATGGTTGTTCAAATCGAATCAAGGATCATTTACGAACGCAGGTGACTACCTAGACTAACATTTTATAGAAGACTTTCGCGGCCATTTTCGAACATTTAGTAATCTGATGATCTTCTGATGGTAAATAAATCTTCTTCATTTCTCAATCAACAGTCTAATATTGAACGAAAATACTAAATTCATTCTTAATACCAGTTTTTAAATTCAGCGCGTAGAACGAGAAGAACTGGCAAGAAACTCGCCGGCACTCTTTTTATCGCCAGTAAAAGCTCAAAAAAACGAAATATATTAGTCAACTTATTTTTAATTTAATTTAAAATTATTAGGACACGTAGCGGAAAAATAGGTTATCATATACATATTTAGCATTTTAAACCGTTAAAAGTGTTTTTTTATGAGCACTACATGTGTAAACTACGGACAATACTTAACTTATAATAGTGTGATCAATACGTAATCCATGCATTGATTGAACATTATTTGTGGGGATTTTAAAGAGGTAATATCCATTATATTCCACGCGTTAAGATGACCGCGTAATTGATCGTTGGGTTGAATTTAAATGTAATGGTGCTTGATTGTTCACTCTCACATAAGTATAGCTAGAAAGAGTTGCTTCGGATATGTGGAAAAATGAGTTCCCTTGGTATAAAGTTAATTTTTAGATTGAATTGTTTCTTAAAGTATAAATCTTTTGTTGTCTGAGTAGTCTTTGTATTATTTATTTATCATCATTTTCATTATTATTATACCGTTTGACCCTGCTGGACCAGACCACTGCTGGACGTTGGCCTCTCCCAAGGCATGCCACTCGGCCCTCTCTTGAGCTCTATCTATCCATTTGCTGTCGACTACTTTATTCAAGTCATCTGTCCTCCGTGTTTTAGCTCGTCCTACACTGCGTTTGCCTAATCGTGGTCCTAATTTCCATAATCCACACTATTTATTACAGATCGTTTATATATTTCTATTGGACGTTGTCAAATATAAATAAGATTTGTCTTTAAAATGCTGTGTCTATTGATGTGAATTTCTCTCCATATTTAGACAAAATCTAATTGTATTAGAACAACTGTACTAACTATTGTATTAAAGATAAAAATATAAATGATTTTTTTCTATTATCTCAATTAGAAAACATATTTGAAATATTCGCAGTTCGCGTTTTCCAGCTAGTGCGGAGTTGATTAATATATAAGAGATATTCCTCATTATCGGATCTTTGAAAGTTATACATTTAAGTGCATGTTGATAAATTGGAAGGGACGCAAAGGATCACTGTTACTGACGTAAAAGCGAATAAATAAGAGACTTCCGCGAAGCACTCTCGGCGAGAACAAGTCGAGAGCCGGTGATGTACGATTTGACATAGAATATTTTATTCGGGCTTGGGACGCTGCCATCCATTCCACTTATCCAGCGCTCTGTTGAATTTTTGACACGTCGACGAAAGACTGTCCTTTTTTAACCCCAGGTTTTAGTGTGTCACGCGCCTTTAACTTCGCATTAATGGATTAAAAAGGGAGAACGCCGAGTTTCTTTGTCACTATCACTAAAGTTCGTCGCAATTTATATCTCATTTTTAAGGAAGATTAGAAAGATGATACACTGATCTCGTCTTTTAGGGTGTCTTTTACAAACAAGCGCAGAATATTTAACTTTTATTTATATTTATTGTGAATTTTGAAACTGCTGACCTGGCAAACGTCCTGTTGCCATGTGAGGTGAATCAAATTTTGGTAGAAAAATGTTAATCCCATGGTAATAAAATAATGGTTAATAGCTAATGTTTTTTCTGACTTTAACTTAAATAATATATAGATAAACATATACTGTTACGGACATCTTTATATTATTTAAAAAAGAATAATTCTTTCGTACATGTTCCTGAACCGTTTTCGCGGCGCACGCAACGGAAAATTTAAAAATTAAAGATTAATAAGGTTCCTAGATGGTTCCTTGCTCCTATTGCTATATCGCAGCGTGATGTTTTATACCTAAATCCCTCCTGTTAAGATACAGGATGGATGTATTTATGATTAGACCGTTTGTATAAGAGTACAAATGGTCTAATCAACACAAATTTTTTTTTAATACAACAATAAGTAGTTTCTGAGATTAGCGCGTTCAAACAAACACATTTCTCATCTTTATTATATTAGTATAGATTTAGTTTTTTTAATCATAGAGGAGAATGGGCAGCAACATTTTGTTTTTGGTATATTCGGAGGTTTACGAGATACAGCATGGAAGACGCACGGACTAGTCGGCGCATCGAAGTCCTTAAGACGTAAAAAATGCGATAGATACATAGTAATAAAAAGATGGTCGCGAAACGGCGCAGCTGCTCATATCCTCTCCCACCCAAAGACAGAATCCAGCGCACAAGCCATATTAGATTTTCTCGCTCTCGCAAATCCATTCTGAGATGTTCATATTTTATTGAGGCCAATAAAACGGATTCATGAATATGAGAAATGCATAACGAATATCAAATTTATGGATTGAGCGCGCCGCGGATATGTCGCGGGTAATTTGATGCTGGCTTTATAATGGGCGACTGATAAGAATTTTGATAAAGCAATCAAATATAATTGCGTTCTCCACGAACAATTTTCCCGTCACACATAAATGTCGACAATAAGTCTTTCTCTGGTTTTGTCCACTCATATTTATGTGGTGCGAGAGGAAGACACAATTCTGCGTCTGTTTCACTAATCGGTGTTATTTACATATACATATATACACGTACACATTTAAATTAAATACTCTTAACGGTTGCTTTAAAGCCTCCGAAACATCGGGCCGTAGGAAAAAAAAAACCGAATGTATTATCGTGTTTTAAATTGTTAAAAGTGTTTTATTCACAGACTAGTAGTTGTTGTGTACTCTCATCAAACTAGAACTAGTATTTTTGTCCCGCTATTCGAACCCTAGACCTCTAACGCTTAATGGCTAGCATAATGCAGTATAACAGATGATGTGGTTCAATTATTTCTATCGTAGTGTGTGTGTGTGTCAATTGTATGTACAAATATGTACATAACCGAATATTGAACACACAATCTAATAAGTAAGTAATAATAAGGTAACAATGTTTTATAACAGCATTGCACGTCTACTAATTTTTAGTTGATACTTTTGTTTTATAATATTTTTTTACTCGTTAGACTACGAGTGCGGTCTGTCAATACTGTAAGGTATTTCATTCATGTTCCACCACATTAGCTACAGCTATCCGATATCATAAAACCTTGGAAACAATAAATGGGATAGATAACCTTAGATAGCAGCTGAACTATCAACTCGCAAGAGTTATTAGTGCCTCCTTCGAGTTTCAATTTACAGCTTGCATGGACGTTTCAACCTTTAAGGGAGTTACTTCTAGGCGATCTTGTTATTCACATGTCACTCCAAATTGTACCTTGTCCCCTTGATATACAGAACAACGTATCTGCATGTCGGATTACTGAATAACGTCTACGCAAAAGGAGTCTTATTGTGCGAATGGAAGGTCCACTTTTGAATGATTGTACGAGACTGCTGTTGCCGTTTGACGGCATTTTGTCGGAGTAATAAGGTCTCGCACAGAGTGGACGTAAGAAGAGGATATCGTTTATTCTAATGAGGTTTCACTGTGAGACGCGTGCTCCCCGTGTCCGTTGCTCGTTGCAATATATAGAACAGGGGAGGCCAACCTTCGGCTCTGTGGAGGGTCATTTGTGACCTTCAAGAACTTTTTAATACATTGACGAATTATGTGATGCAAAGTTTGACAAGTTTCAATTGTTTTTGACGTAGTATTTGTCTGAAGTTTACGTGAGTAGTACACATTTAAATACGGGAGACTACGTGAGACCGCGTTGTACATCGTTAAAAAGTGTTTTATTTAAACATGTTAGTTTTTTAATCTAATTTTTAATTTCTTGTGATGAAAAGCATTGAACCTCAACATATACGTGTTAAGGTAGTACCTTATTCAAATAATTGTGATGGCGAGCGGGATCTATTTATTATCATTTAAAATAATAAAGAAGAGATTAATTATCTATTTGCATGAAACTTTATTTAATTGTGCCTCGGGACACCGATAGAAGTTGTAACTCTATGGTTAACGCTGTAGGTTACAGTAAGAAGACCAGTATCATCGCAAGACAGATGAAGTCGGAACGCGTAACGCTACTAAGTCGCTTACCCTCCCATCTCATAAAATACCATCTCATAATCATCCAACCTTATAAAATAGTACCTACCTCTTGTAAATAATTACAATTGCGGTACATCAAATCTTACAAATGGTTATTTCTATTAAGGCGCTTGGCTACCCCTGATATAGAACTTGTACTCCCTTTTAGGATACCGTCGAATGACATTCACGCCTCAGTTTCTTTGCACACACGTTAGTTATGGACGTGGTATATTGACAACAAAGTGTTTAGAAGATTTTCAATTGTTTCAGATAATTTTTCACCCGTGTAATGTCCGAGTGACGGTCGCACGATGATTCGTGATCCACCGGCCATGCACAAACCAGACAATCCTACAAGTAAGTAATAATGTATACTTTGTTGATATAATATTAAAAGAAATAATTACAATAAAAACAGTTTTGGGGCGATTAGACGATGAGAAATACTTATATTTTTTGCGTTCAAAAGTAACTCATCGTTTTTTTAATAGATAACATTAAAGTAACTGTTTACTAGATAAAATTAATTCTACGTTAAAATATATAATTAACTCGTAATTAAGAGTATAATGTTCCGCTTCAAAGAACATATAAAAATCGGTGACAAAAGAAGCAACTTTTCCAATTTCGCTGACATAATTTTTTTATAATATTAGGACAAACAGGTCGTGAATAAAACGGGAAGGGTTGTGCCATAAACCGCCGAGGACGTCCGTCGCGATATTAAAAAGGGGACCGGCGATATTGCAATATCACATTTATGCGAAATGTCCAACACCCAGATCGTATTGATAAAAATAAGCGAAATTTTATTGTGGCCCGCAGAGCCCTAAACTAATTTATCATACTCTTTTGTTATTGAAGAAATACTCCTCGCGAAATAGCTTGGATATGAAAGGAATTTATCTAATAACTTTAACACATTTTAAAATATGACTCGCGTAATAAAACCCTCCCCTACATCGGTTTTGCCGCACTTTATGACTGCCTTATCGTAATCAAAATCGTGTTTTTCGTTATTACAGCTATTAAGCTATTCGGCGAGATGGAAAATCGAATATTTTAACTTGTATTTCTATTCTAATAATCAATATATATACATTATTTGTTCTGGCTATTTGTTCTTATATATATATCAACACACAACAAAACCAAAATAATTCTAGTCGTGGTCACGGGGAGACCCGTGACCATGGTGTGGATCCAAATGTTGGGCCGTTAAAAATATTTTCAAATAAGTTTAACTAATATATCGCATTTTAAACCGTTAAAGTGTTTTATTTAAATTTGTCTACTCGCGTAAACTATAGATAGTATTTTGTGAAGCATGTTAGACTTCGTCTGGAAATCTTGATATTAAATGAGTAGTCGGAACTACTGTCTACAGAAATATTTCAGTTCCAGTCTATAGATTTCGGAATAAATAGGTCGACAGTGTAACTGGTTTAGATTGCTGTTTCACATTCTATTAAGTAACCTTATGCTTCTCTGTCCTCTACTAATATAAAAAGAAGGTGGATTTTTTTTAGTTTTAAGGTACATTAAATACTGTATGTAGTTAAGATACGAGATTTGCCACATGGTTTCCTCATGTCGATGTGGCGTGATATCTGCACTCAATGCCCAAGAGGAAGGGAACAATCCCATTGTAATAACACCGCGCTGGCCCACACGACCGCCGGATGCAGAAGCAATAGCGGAAAATTGCGGACTAGCTACAAGCTGAGCGGTTGCTGCGGAATGGCGCCGAAACCCGCGCCCGCGGCACTGGCTTGCTCTGATAAAATTTATGGCCACTTCCCCTTTAAAACAATATTGAGGGCTCAGTTGGGATTTATGTCTCGCCGCTGCAGCGACTCAATTTATTCTTCAATTTTTCATACAATAACTCACATACGTATTACGAGTGATGGATGAAAAGGACTAACTTTCGGGCTTTAATAAGAGCCTCCAGATGCGAATCTCCAAATTGGCTGAAGTTTATTGCCCACTTATGTCAGGCTTAAGTTACGCTCGGAGCTTTCCTCTCGGCAAATAATATATGACGTTGATTGTTCTTATTAAACGATCGATTCAGATTTTATATGGTGCGTTTCGTTGATACGTAATTATACAATTGCAAGGATACTTTCCGTTTTAACTTTAGTGTTTTCCGGAAGTTACATTTTATATGTAAAAATCTGGTTTATGAAAACATTGTAAGCTGTCCTTGTCATCTTATTTTTTATCGGTAATTTTTTAAATATATGTATATGAAATGAGAAAAAAATACTTTTATATATGAGAATAAAGCTTATTATATATACGAAACATGATAAGGAAACGACAGATAATATATAAAACATAGAAAAGGCCACAGACGCATAATAAAAAAATATGTAACCTTATTTAAATTAAAAAAAAAAGTGTAATAAAAAGTCTTAGGCTAAAATCATAATTAAATGAGATAGCGATAAGGATCTGTGTTGGTAAATAATTGAAATTTTAATTGCTCAAACAGAGAACTCTTTCCTTAGAAATCATTTGCCACTGCTATTAGGCTTAATTCAAAAATTAATTTAAACTTTCACAAGGTTGAGCCGGGAAGCGAGCTCGGTAAAGGCAATATCAATTTCATCATTTTAATTAAAAAAAACTTTGATGACAGTCGCGTAAACTTATTTATAATTACAGCGATGATAATAGTTTATTTTTTGAATAAAAATAATATAAAGATGTTACAAGGCTGGGATGATTAACCTACCATCGAGTGAACCTGATGATTGTCTGTCCTCCTCTATTAAAAAAAATCCAAATCAAAACGTTTTATGTATCTCTAGTATTTCCGAACTGAAATTTGATGAGCTTTGCTACGTGCAAAATATTTTATTTGTGACTCACGGTATTTTAAATTTGGGATGTCTCGCCCACATTAAACTTTAATTTCTCAACCAAACACTCGCTTTTTAATGTTCGACTTTTTCGTAAAGGTGGGCTTTTTCTGGATACCTGAATATTAAATAGGTGATAGAAATATCAAAATTCCGTCCGGGTCACGAACCCTGTCGCGTGCTGTTTCGGTTTCGGGCTTCAGTCTGTGACCTTTTGAATATCCAAAGCCGAAATAGGTCGATAGCGCATCTATATTACATGTTAAGAACAATTAAGGTTAACAAATGTATCCAAAGTGCCTTGTAATTCATGAAGTCTTAACCATATTCCATGCAAAATGGTTTTATAAAAATGAATATAATTATAATTTATAAAACACAGACGGAGTCAAACCATTACTTACTTATTGAAAATGATTACAACTACGAACCCGACGTTTCGAGCTTTGCAGCGCCGTGGCCACGGCTGCTGCAAAGCATCCGAAACGTCGGGCCGAAGTTAAAAATCATTTTCAAATAAGTTTAACTAATATGTCGCGTTTTAAACCGTTAAAGTGTTTTATTTAAATGTGTACTACTCGCGTAAACTGACAGAAATGTAATTAATGAATTAGCTTACTCTCCGCATAAACGTATAGACATGTATAAATTATAAAAAAAAAAAAATAAAAAACACAGGCAGGTGTCAAACCTACGACCTACTTATAATGATTACAATACAATTTAGAGCTTATCACTTACGTATTCTAGTAACGTAAAACTGTACTGTAACATTTAATACAAGACGGCCACTTAGCGATGCAAAATTCATAATTTATAGTCTGTAGAAAGCTATTCAGCACAGGCTGTTTTTACATTCCTCTCATTATTAAGGCAAAACCCGCATAATTCGGTTAAATCTAATTACAGCCCGCATAATGGATATTGCAACAACGCAATCAAGTCTATTGTTTAACGAGTGACCGACAAGTGAAACTAAATATACCATGAACGAATCTGATATATATTTCAACCGCGTAATTATTAATATCGTCATTACATTCGTTGTTTTAGATCATTTTATGTGACAGCTCTTAATTGCACACGGTTTACTGACATAATTAATTCTGGACATAAGCCTTGCTGGCGTACAAGTGGTCTGGAAACCCAAGTTTAATTGTCATTGTGTATTTAAATAGAACGCTTATAAGGTTTAAAACGGGAATTATATCAGTAAACTGCAGGTTCTATCTTTTTTCGGTACGTTAAGTGTTTATTATCATTTATGAACGAATAACGACGTTTTTACTTTGACATTAGGGTCAACCTCTATCTTTAGTCTCCCCGTGACCACGGCCGCAAAACAACCGAAACGTCGTCGCGTAGTTAAAATAATTTGTAAAGTTAATACATTTCGCGTTTTAAACCGTTAAATATGTAGTACTCTGCAGTGTTTACCCTTTAAGACTTAAATGTAGAAGGTGGAAAAGTTCTCCGTTATAAGCGCATTGATTATTCATCAAATACGCGTATGGGAGAAGACGGAGTTAATTGCGAAAAGCAATAAACGATTGTAAATTGCACGGAATGATTACGGAGTGGTCTTGATGCGGGTTCATTACAATAACCTGGCATTTAATTGAATCCGAGGAATGTTACCTACTGCGGAGCGCACAGACACGCATGGCCCCACACTCGATACATCACCAGACATAGTAAAGGGCGTGCGGATAAACAGTTATTCTCGTTCCCAAACATTACTTCCATTTCATCGTTTACTATTGTCATTTATTATTAGTTCTCACTTATTACATTACATTGATAAGTTTAACTTTACATGTTGTGTTTGCATCTTAATAAGCTTATTATTAAGACGATTGTTATGTATTCTACTATTCAAGTAATATCTCAACATATTAATAAATAAATTATAATGTTGAGAACAAATGATAACGCAAAATGTGATCATGGATTCGAATCGAAGATCGTTGTCTTTTTGCTGATACACACATATGTGACATGAGAGAAGACATTTTATTTCTTTTTAAATACTCATTTTAATTGGTTGAAAATAACCTCAACACAAAGCACTACATTAGTATTTAAATTATAAAAATACAGATATTTACTAATTATACAGAAATATGTAAATAAAAACGTTTTATATATTTAAAAAGGGGTATTTTAATGTCACACCAAATAAAATTCATATTAAGAATAAGTTCGACTTGGTATTGATTTTTTAAATTCTATTCAGCCAGTGTAGAATGTAAAACTAGTTAATTGAGGCAAAATAGTTGCACTTTTTGCAAGGATGTGAGTCAGATGCGTGAACGAGTCTGTGCATCGTTATAATCGTTGCGGTCGTTAGAATAACGTGCCGATCCATAATTACGGAATTAACAACATGCGCGGCCCGAAATGGACATAACACGCCAACCAGTGCATTTAACGAAGCCAACTTGGCTATTCCTTGAAAAAAATATACATTTTTATTTTATCGTTGAAAAACAACTGCCTTTTACATCCCAGTAATCTCGCGATAAGACGTTCTTCCGAGAATCTATCGCGCTTGTATTAATAGTAGCATTGCTCGTCTAATTACAGTACATATTCGTTCATTATTGTTATTACATATTTAATTAACGCATAATATAATTTTTAATTTGTACACCACTAATTAAAGAGAGATAAATTAATAAAGGAAATAAGCTAGTAGTGGCGTGGGCGGTCGTTCGCTCCCCGCGGCTTACTAATTATTGCGCGCCGAGCGAAGGCTGTAAGTCATCTTTATTATTTTGTTATTAATGATCCGTCATTAATATAGTCCAATTAACTTTATTGTCGCGACGTCGGCTTCAATAAGCGAGCGGTTTGGCCGGCGAGCGATGTGCAAGTGATCGATTGGGATGAGTTATGTCCACTTAGTTACCCCTTCAATTGATTCCTTGATTGGTTTGACGTGCACAGTATTATTATGAGAACGGTGCGTCGATAAATTGAAACTGATTGTTTACTAACGGCGTATTTATTTTGTACTTTATTTGTATTCAGCTGCGTGAATCGGCGGCCGCGCACGTAGCCCGATTTCGTAATGATGTGCCGTATTGGTCTGGACTCTGGAAAGTGATTATTTTATTGTTCCGAATATAAATTAGCAATTGCGATTTTATTGTGAATCAATGAATATATTTTAATGCGTTCTGATACTAACAGCTCAATTTACATCATTAAAGCTTGACATTCTCATTCGCAATATCTGCTTTTGCTGAATTCTTTGCAATAAACAATTTTACGACTTTTTTAGTATGTAGCACTTTACAAATGCGTTACATTAAACGTAAAAAATCATTTAAATAAATCGCGTTAAACTTAATTGAAAATAATAAAATATTTAAACTACGGCTCGACGTTTCGGGTTCTTTGCAGCAACCGTGATCGCGGGGAGACTGCGAAACGTCGGGCCGTAGTTAATAATTTTCAAATATGTTTAGCTAATATATACCGCGTTTCAAACCGTTAAATGTTTTATTTAAATGTGTACTACTCGCGTAAACTACAGACGGTGTATAAAGATCATTTTAATGTGGGTAGTTTTCTTTTAATTAAGAAATAGTTACACTAATTTCTCGCAGGGTGAAATGCCTGCGTGTTTAATGACGTCAACCGGTTACACTACGTCAAGCTCAGCGCGTCTGCTCGAATTAATTGACGCAATTATCCAACATAAAACATTTGTGCTCATATAAATGCAATAATGAGCTGCGTATTACGAGCAATTATTATCTCCTAGAGTGTAGCGAATGTTTTCATACACCAAATCTCGGCTACAACTAAATTAAGACGACCGAATGTTTTGAAACCGATTCTATCCGACCTTTCGTTTCGACATACGAAGTATCAACCGATATTCGGTTTCCGTTTGTTTTGTTTATTAAAAACGTAACTTCAATTAATTATGTATTGTCGGTGTTTACGCGGGTAGTACACATTTAAATAAAACACATTAACGGTTTAAAACGCGACATATGCGCGTGGTCACGAGGAGACTCCTCGTGATGCAAAGCATCCGAAACGTCGGGCCGCAGTTAAAATAATTTTCAAATAAGTTTAATTAATAGATATCACGTTTTAAACTGTTATAGTATTTTATTTAAACTCCAATTTATTATTTGTCAGTTAAAACATAATTAAAATTTTACAATAGATCTGATAGCGTGTAACTTTTCGAATACGGACAATTAATTACGAGGATCTTCTAACTATTTTTGTTCCTTACTACGCCCTAGTTTAATAATTTATTAAATTTTTCATTTAATTTATTAATAATATTATAACGTATAAATAATTTATAAGGGTAGATGAATGCTTATATAACAAAATTAGCGGCCCTTTAATTTATAATACTTATAATTTTTACTTTTTTATCGCTATATTAATCTATTTTACCTGTACCGAATTTTGGCATGTAAGTAGCATTTTGGACCGTCTCTATATATTAATGAGGGTCTTAAAAATATGTTAATGCAATTAGATAAGCATTATGACATACAATTAAAGTCTTATAATAGCTTTTAAGTCAATATAATTAGGTAGAGTGAAACGAATGTAACAACTTACATACAACGTAACTATCATCGTAATGGTTGCCCATTTTAGGTCACGAGTAGATTAAAGATAAAGTATTTTATCAATTTAAATAAAACACTTTAACGGTTTAAAACGCGATATATTAGTTAAACTTATTTGAAAATGATTTTTAACTTCGGCCCGACGTTTTGGATGCTTTGCAGCAGCCGTGGTCACGGGGAGACAAAAAAATCATTATCAAATAAGTTTAACTAATATATCGCGTTTTAAACCGTTAAAGTGTTTTATTTAGATTTAAATTGAAATAACAGTTACTTCAAATTGTGGCTGTTACGACGTTTTTTGCCAGAAGAGATGTAGAATTCTGATGGATGTTTAAATGTATTATTTATCGGCAGGTCAACAAGAAGACAATAAATATGGGCTCAACAGCAGCGTCGTTGGTAACACTGGTGGAGGGAGACTATGCGCACAGTGCGGCAAAGTCATCACCGAGCGGTTCCTATTAAAAGCCATGGAAAGGTTTTGGCATGAAGACTGTCTCAAATGCGGCTGCTGCGACTGTCGGCTAGGTGAAGTGGGATCCAAGTTGTACTACAAAGCTGACCTCATGCTGTGCAAAAGAGATTATCTTAGGTGAATATTGTTTAGCTATTTAGTTTCTAAATAATTGATTTCATTTAAATTCCAATAAGTATATGGAACACAGATAGCCAAAACACTTGCTAACAGGTCGAAGTATCGAGCTATCTAATAAAGATGCCTTTTCGAGCCTTGGATTTGGATATACGAAAAATTCAGTGCCCGAAACTATAAAAACTTACTTCCCCAGACGTAATTTAGATTTTTCTGCCAATGGGGAATCGAAGCTATGACCGTTTATTAGCCATACATTGTTACCGTTGCACTAACAAAGTCGTTCCAACGAACTCGAACATTGATATCCCTTAAGAATCTCTTGTGTATTTGCAAAGAATACGACACGAAATCTAAAAGAGTATTTTATTTCAGGTTATTCGGTGCCACTGGCAATTGTGTGGCGTGCAATAAAGTAATTCCCGCCTTCGAAATGGTTATGCGAGCAAAGAGTTTTGTTTACCATTTAGAGTGTTTCGCCTGTCAACAGTGCAATCACAGGTAATTAACAATAATTACTGGCAAAGATTTTCTCTTTATGAATTATACCAATAGCCCCGTAAATCTAGTTTACTTTGACTTATATGGTCATCCAATTTTTGCCTAAAAAGTGTTATAGTAATTAATTAATTAAGTTTTAACTGTGCCTAGTAACGAAACATTTAAGCCAAAACTATGGTTAACTCTGAACCATAGTCATTATTTATCGTTGATAATTACTAAAACGAACCAACATTTTGTTGCCTAGGTTCTGCGTGGGTGACAGATTCTATCTCTGTGACAACAAGATTCTCTGCGAGTATGATTATGAAGAGCGACTGGTTTTCGCCAGTATGGCGGCTAATCCTACTGGATTAGCTCACATCCGGCGGCAAGTCAGCGGACTACAGGTGATTACAGACAAATAGAATTAATCTTCTCCCATAAATTAACGGCAGAAAGAAGCATCGCGGCCGAAGGTTTGCTTTTATTATAATGAGATTAGCATCCATACATTATGCGATAAATTGCGACAGATGTCTATTAAATTATATTCTCTATATGAGATCATCATTTTTATACTATTCTTTTTTTATATAAGTCTTTTGCATAACTGTTTTTGATTGTGATTTGTGTAAGCGGTTATCTTCTTTATTTTGCATTTTTAATCATCTTAGCCATACAATATTTATAAAAACATAAGTTTTAAATTAGTATAACATTATTTAAAAATCTATTTAGAATATGGCACCATTTATTACTTCCATTATTATATTAAACGATCATTAATAATATAATGTACTAAATACGTATATTAATTGAAAATCACTAGAAATTAATTTTAAGCTAACTTTAATTACTATATGAATTTGTACAAATGTGGGCAATTATGTTAAATACATAATAGAGTTTGCTTGAAGGCTGAATATTCACAACAGACTGTCAATTCCCATAGACTATCAGTCGTTTCGTACAATTAGCGTTCGCACTGACGTGGTCCAATGTTCTTTGTGAGACCCCATGCAACCGGAGTCTATTCACACAAGATTAATATTGCAAATTTAATAGTCGATAACCAACGTCATTAACTCCGGACTCGAAACGAGAATTTACATTATTATATGCATATTTATCGATTTAATACGCACTTGGTTATTACGCGGTTAGCAATTTATAAACATTACAGATTACGCCATTTTCTATATAGTACTTATAATATGTTTGTTAGATTCATGTGAAAAACTCATGAAAATATTTTATGGCTCGGTTGTCAAAGCCAAGGATCGAGCTTAGTGGTGATTAAAAGTGGAAAATTCTTTATCCCCTGGCACTTGGATGCTGAAAGTGTGATCACCTCCGTACCTTAAACAGCAAATTTTATGATAGAGAGGGGCGAACCAGCATCGGGTTTACTCGATGAAAGGTGAACTACTCCCGTAATGTAATCACCTCCACAAGATGCATTATCGACATTCGTTGGCTTAGAATATTCGGAAGTTGCACAGACTAAAAACGAAACGCGAATTAAATTTTTATCTGTGACTGGTGGTTCGGCTCGGACGGAATTTCGATATGCCTACCACCCAACGAAACATGCTTTAGAAAAATAATAAACTATCGACTAGAAACATCCAACATGTTTCTAGCCGGTGGTGATCGAAGCTACGACCCATTTATTACTAAACATACATTTATTACTAAACATCATTGGACCATCGAGTCCGTAACCGATCAGCTATTATTCTGGTTATTATCACTTACTTTTGACGTTAGTCCAAACCGCTCAGAAGCATCACTGTGGGTTTAGAGTTTCAGCCTCGTCCTATAAGACAGGATACTTTAATAAGTCGAAACAAACGAATATCAAATAAAGGCCACCTGAAAAAAATAGGCTCGCGAAGTAAATAACTCCCGCAAGGACACTGTTAGTAGGAGATTCTATCTCCACTTTATTATGTTTCTTTTGTGATCATTAATCTTTCTCGTACGAACGCTTGTCGGAATGCGAATGTGGGGGAATCTATTTCATTTTATGAGAGTGGGAGATTGGGGCCCATTCAGCCGCACGACATGTCTAATCGACTTTTTGATTGCGCTCACCGTCCGCACTCGGAACTCATGTTAGGTACGGTATCTCGTATCGAACCGTTGTTTTGAGCATTAGTAGTAGTCTTTAGTTATGTTAAAAGCTTTTTGTTCTCTTAAAATGACTAATATGATATACATACACATTTGAACTTATTCTTGTTTTCAAAGAGCTAAGATTATGTATGTACAACATTATTTAAAGGTGATTTTGAAAATATTACGTCATTAGGAACCCTATCGTTTTCGTCTCTAATTCGGTTTACTTCTGTTTTGTCTTTAGTTATGTTATTGAAAGTTTATTTATTGCTTTTAAGATATGTATTGAATTAAACTACAATATCTGAATCTCCACGTGGAGTCTTATTCTTTTAATGATCTAATCATTTCTTTATAGAAGTCTCAAGTAGTACCTACTTGAGACTTCTATCATTTTGAGCGAACCCATGCTTGATGAAGGTAAAATACCCTAGCTATAGCACGACGAGATGCGCTATCGACTCATTTTGACTTTGGATATTTGAAAATCTACAAACTGAAACCCGATTAAAGTTCATGGCTTTTCAACCGACGGTTGTTGGTCTGTTGTACGGTTAGTTCGTGATCCGGATGAAATTTCTAAATTTCGAATTTAATAATCAAGAGTCCAGACAGAGTCAAACATGTTTAAAAAAAATATAAATTGATTATAAACACGAACCCACGACTCTTTAATTAGTAGCCATATATTCATTCTATTGAACTAACGAGCCCGCCTTTGTTATTTGTATAGACATTCCAATCCAATTAGAAATAGTAAGGAAACCACATTTTGGAATACAATATTGTACTGTGTAGTACTGGCATATGTACCACAGACCGTTTTTTTTATTTTTTATGTAATGTAATTAGATTCTATATATGTATCAACTTTCATCATTATTTTTGTTTCATTATGGTCCGATTGCATCTATGGAATTTCTGTATACATATATAGAGTTAGTATCAAGGCAGTGATTACACAGTCATTATAAAGACTGTTATTATTTCAGTCCCCAAGTGGTGGTTACGTGGGTGGTCCAGGTTGCGCGGGAAACGCAGCGGCGATAGTGGATAAAGACAACGGCGGTTGCGCGGGCGCAGATGACGCCTCCAGTGGCTACGGCAGCCCGCCTGACCCCGACGTATGCGATGCGGCACGATGACCGACAGTATCGCGCCGACATCTTACCTCGGTAATAAATTAATTGTATGGGGGAAATAATATTTATTGGATGTACTAGTTAATTGTAAATAGATACATACGATAAATAAGTTTTGGTGAATAAAGAATTTATATATGTATTTGAACCGGTTTTAGATATGTTAGGAGAATAAATGTTTTCCTAAAAATTTAAATTTAATTATTTCCTAGTGGTGTTGTTGTTTTAATTTACCTTAGTTGAATTCCGCTTTATTTTAATTTTGTCTATGATAGAGGAGCACAGACATGCGTGGGATTCACTTGATAATAGATTGGATTTCCACAGACTGCAACCGACACGCGCGTAAACTTTTACGGCTTATTCATCTGTGGACGTAGGATCTTGACTCGGTCGGAGTTTCGATATTCCTACCATCGATTTAATGTATAGATTCTCAGACTAAGACTCAACATAAATAATACATAAACCTATTTTAATTATAATAAAGCGAAAGCAAAGATATCATATATTTTTATTATAATTGATGAGTGAAAGTAATACGAATTGAACGCTAATGAAATAAGTCAACATGTCTTAATTTCTTTGTGCCTACAGGTTAAACCGCACTGAGAGGTAGCGGGGCGGCGCACTGCTCAACGAAGTCCGCAATTCAATTACATCATCCGCCAGCTGAAGAAAATTATCACAACATTGCAGTTAATTAAAAATCACACGGTTCACTTCCAACATTATTTAATTATTAAGATTGCATTTAAATAATCTGCATAATCGAAAGAGAAAATGCTCAACGGCCTGCGCAAGAGATTCGTGTATAACCGGCTTAACGGCCCTGGTAATTTACAAAACACACCAACAAGTGAATAACAGAATCAGGGCCCAGAATTACACCACTACGACATGCTTAAAACACCGCAGGAGTACATTAGGCTAGAAGGCGGGTATTGCTGATGCGGCCACTTTAGAAAATGTCCGGGATGAGTCGCGATAACGTTGTTAGAACACGATATTTCCATTATGTATACGATTTGAGTCTACATGTTAAGATAGCTTCGCGTGGGTAGGCCTCACGCTTAGCCAATTTATCCACTTCGAGTACTTGAGTACCTATAGAATATTGAAGAATGATTTATAAAAATAGCTGCATTAAATAAGTTTAACTACTACTATTTCAGAGTATTCACTTTTAAATTCTATTTCGGTATGTTCGTCGTGTTAAGTGACAATGTAAGTCGAATCAACAATATTACTATGTTCATCATCTCTTTGTACAGACGAAATTTCTATATAAAAGGACTTTAATTGATAAGTTTAAGCTACTGTACGTGTTTATATTTAGGTAACTTTCAAACAACGAGTCAGGTCCATGATTGAAGTAATTGATGAAATCGATCTCATTGTTATGAAATTTGATGTACTATACTTTGTCTAATATAGGATGATAAGTTTGATAATTCTCGTACATTTCGAACAGATTATAAATTGTCAAACTTATCATTATATATTAGACATTGTACAGTGTTGTTGTTATCATACAAGGTATGAAATTTTACTGTGAATATAATTTGCTTTTGTTTCGATATGAATTGGTTATTGTAGATATTAATGTTGTTTTTGCCAAAGATGATATTCAGTCCTCCCTAGGATTTATATCTTCAAATGTGAAATATTTTTTATTTAATAGTTGCCTATTTTGGTACTTTAAAGTGGTGCAATGGTACGTAGATAAATACATTTGTATAAATCTAAATTTAGATATATAAAATAATTGTAAAGCTTTTTTGTTAATTGCGTCATTGCTTTAATATACTAAGATTATTAACAAATTTACTTCATTGTAATATAGTTACAGTTTCTTAAACACTTGGACAGATGACTTTATCGTGTAGCGACGATAGTAATCTTATTGGGACGAGGATCAAACATACTTTTTGTAACTTAAAACAACATTACCGAAGCTTTTGAATATCATTATTTTATGATTTTAATGGCATCATTATGAGTCAAGTATTTCATTTCAATCGTATTCAATGTTAAATACATACTTCATATTATAATCCTTGAATTGAAACGATATCTCGAAAACCTTTACAAGCAGTCATTCTTGACCATATTCGGACGTCCCATTAAGTTGCTGTCAAAGCATTTGTATATTGATTTAAGATGCTTGAATTTTTTAAACTCACTTGATGTAAATTAAATAAAGATGTATTTATGTAAAAAGTTACAGTTAGACACGTACTGTCTAGGTTAACAAGTTTTGTCTAATACATTATAGAGTCTAAATAATAAAACGTTCTCAAACATCGACAAACACACTTTCGTTTTACCGTTATTTTGTAAATAAATATATTTATTTAAACTGAATTGTGTTTATTTCATACCATCATTCTGAAACTTCATGAACACGGAAAGGTTGTTGGGCACAAATAACTAATGTTAGTTCATATTTAGATCAATACTCTAATATTTGATTAAATTATTAAGATTTTTTTTCTAGGCGCAACGTTAACTTGTTTTGAATAATACGACAAAGAGATTGTAGGACACGGGAACTCTATTAGAACAGCAGCACGGATGCCAGTTCAAGTCCCGCCGTTAATTTTTTTAAATTTAATTTAAAACATCTAAACTCGAAATATTTGTTTGTGATTTAAATTTTAATATGACCACGTTTAACAACAGCAACGTGATCATGGCTATTTAATCCTTTTTGTTTTAAACCGTTAAAACTGTTTTATTTAATTTGACACACTCGAATCTCATTTTAGAAAGCTATATTTTGATACAGATTTCAATTAAAACAGGCGTATAAATATTAAACAAAATACACGTCATATAAAGGAATAGTTCTAAAAGTGTTGGTCTGACTCACACCACGTAATGAGTTAATGACTTATCAAATAAAGGATTTCGCTTATGAAAATTGCTCACGAACTCTCAGGTACAAAAGTATTCGGGTAAGTTTTACGCTGGAACTGTGCTAATTGGGTGCCTTGTTGGAACAGACTGACAACGATAATCTTTTTAAATCACTTAAAAATACATCAGGTCGTTAAACAAGAACACATTTCGTTGTCGCGGAAACAAGAAGACGTGGCCGATTCGAGAAGCATTTAAAATAATTTTAGCACGTTAAAACATGTGTACTCGGGCAGGACACAAACCTAGGAACAACAGCATACTATGCTCTATCACTATAGCTAATAGTTTAGTCAATACCTTTAATCGCGCATTAAGAAAAACCTACCACAAAAAAACTCTATACATATATTGAAAATAGCACTATATTTAAAAAAAACATTTTACCTGATTAAAACGTGAAATATATTACTTAAACTTGTTTACAAATTATTTTTAACTACGGCTCCACATTTAGGATGCTTTGCAACAGTGGTCACGGGGTGACTAAAGATGTAGGGTGTTTCTAATGTCTAGCGCTATCTGCAATTCTTCAAATAAAAATAATTTGTAAACTAGTTAAACACGTGATTAATATATTTAGCGTTTTAAACCGTTAAAGTGTTTATTTAATATAGACATTCCAGTCTTATATGACAAGAAAAGTGATCATGTTTCTCTGTAAATAAAAAATAAAGCTTTGTTTGAATTTATCGAAAGCAATAAAAAACACAAATTCATACATGTGTGCTTTATTCTTCATAATTAGGTCGGTCGCGTGTTTTTATTGCTTGGGAATGTCCATAAAATTCTCAACAACGGGACGCATTAACGAGCATCGTTTAGTTGTTTGCTGTTTAAATAAGAGCAGTAATGTAATTTTAATGAGCTCACAAAAATGTGTGCGTATTTCTGAGTAACAAGCAATGCTAACGAACGTTTCTGCGTACACGGGAAAGTATTAGTTCTGAGAGGTTATTTGAAAGATGTATTTTTATGCCACTCGAACGTATAGGAACAAGTGTTCATTATGATCATTGCGATTCAATAGATGTTTGTGATTACAATGTTGGATACAATTTAATGTTCAGTAGATAAAGGGTAAAATCGAATTTCGTTATGTGAGAATCCACTTTTCGTCCGTTTGGATCTACGACTACATTAAATTACGAAATATCAACTAATTTTGTAACTATATTAAATATTTCAATAACGAAAAAGTCTGTAGTTTACGCGAGTAGCACACATTAAAATAAAACACTTGTAACGATTTCACATGCGAAATTCACTATTTCTCCCCTAACTCCCTCATTCAAAACGTTTAACCGTAGCTAAATCAAATTTAAAACATGTTAACTAATATATTACTGGTTTAAACCGTTTAAAATATTTTATTAAAAACAATTGAACAAAAGTATAATATTTTTTGCACGGGATTGAGAAAGGCAACAGGTAGACACTTTTTATATTCACAGTATAGAAAAGAAATAAAATGATTTCAGTTTAATATTTTTATAAATACCATTTAATAGGAACGGAACCTACTAGTATACGTTTTAATTATGCTGTAACTATTGTATAACACCTTTATATACAATATTTTTCATTAATAATTAACTTAAAACTACAATTTAAGTTAATTGACTATGTGTAAATAAGACAAGCAACAACTACGGGTAGCAATTACAAACAAGAGATCACGGAAGTTCTTCAAAATATTAACACATTAAAATAATAGAATCCGCTTAACTTTTAAATTCGAGTGGTTCGCCAGCCGGTAAAACTCACTTAAACTTTTAATTAAATTTCAGTATTTTTTTCAATGCCACGAAGAAACTCATACTTAAGCTTTAATAAAAAAGGCTCTACAATTAATCTACTAACGACTTTTAATCTTCTAATCTAAATAAATTATTAAACGTACCTACTTATAAATAAACTTATTAAATTAATAGTAATTATACTTATATACATTTTTAAAGTCAGTTTACAAAATGCACATCATTGTTTTCTTGCTGTTCAGCCTACGTAAGCGAGAAGAGGTTCTCGATGTTTCCCCACCACGAGCGGACACATCATCAGATGTTAGCTCCTCGATTGCT